CGCTTTACGAAGTTTTCCCAGATATGCCGAGTTTTTTGTGACACCCCTAGGTGTTCTCCTACCACCTCACAAAATATCAAGGGGGGTCGTCGGAGGAAAAATTTTTTCGTAATAGAGCTCATATAAAGAGAATTTCACTCGCGGTCACTTTTTAGCCCTCGTCGAGGGCTTTGAGTAAGACCGACAGGTCTGCCCTACGGTCAAGCCATTTACCTATAAACATGCCAAAAATTAGCCAGATGTAAACAGGGTAAGTGCCCTAAAATCTGTTTTGAAATGACCCTCTGTTTTTCCCATAAAATACAAAGATTATATAGGGAAATACGACTGGTCAGTTTTGACCCATTTCCCGATTTTTCCCGGACATGGCGAGTTTTTTGTGACACCCCAAGGTGTTCTCCTACCACCTCACAAAATATCAAGGGGGGTCGTCGGAGGAAATTTTTTTTCGTAATAGAGCTCATATAAAGAGAATTTCACTCGCGGTCACTTTTTAGCCCTCGTCGAGGGCTTTGAGTAAGACCGACAGGTCTGCCCTACGGTCAAGCCATTTACCTATAAACATGCCAAAAATTAGCCAGATGTAAATAGGGTAAGTGCCCTAAAATCCGTTTTGAAATGACCCTCTGTTTTTCCCATAAAATACAAAGATTATATAGGGAAATACGACTGGTCAGTTTTGACCCATTTCCCGATTTTTCCCGGACATGGCGAGTTTTTTGTGACACCCCAAGGTGTTCTCCTACCACCTCACAAAATATCAAGGGGGGTCGTCGGAGGAAATTTTTTTTCGTAATATAGCCCATATAAGGCGCCGGTCAGTCGAGGTCAGTTTTGACCCCTTCTCCGTAGACTTTTCGGCCAACCGTCACCGGCCTTCGTGTTCTATTGCCCGAAGGCACCATCGTGCCAAATTTGACGCGCCTGCGGCGCCGGGAAGTGCCCTATCGGGCACTTGACCACTTTGCTTTATATATATAGACTAGGCATACTGCCTAGCTTCGCTTAGGTTTTCAAAAAAGTTGAGAAATTGAATGATTAATTAATAGGCGATTGGCTGTTATGTTAAATGCTTAGGGCCTAAATTTATACAGTGGGGTACTTTTTTAGTACCCATAAATTGATAGAATATTCGCAACTTATTACTCGCAAGGTTATTAGAACTGAAAGGGCTTTCATAAAAATTATCGATCAAATATTATATTAAATTACTTTTGCAATTAATTTTGCAATTTCAATACAATACAAAACTTAATTTATAACACAATATCCATTTAAAACAATGCTATACTTTATGATTTTTGTTTTTTCTTAAAAAGAGTATACAAAATATTAAAAAAATTGTTACATTAAAAAGTTACCTCCCCTGCTCATAGAGCAATTGACCAAATTTCGTATAATGAGAATTTCACTCGCAGTCATTTTTAGCCCTCTTCGAGGGCTTTAATGCTGACCAACAGGTTTTCCATACGGCCCATCTATTTATAGAGGTGTATGCAAAACATTAGCCAGTTATACAAAGAGTAAGTACCCTAAAATTTGCGTAGAAATTACCCAGTTTTCCCCATAAAATACAAAGATTATATAGGGAAATACAACTGGTCAGTTTTGACCGCTTTACGAAGTTTTCCCAGATATGCCAAGTTTTTTGTGACACCCCTAGGTGTTCTTCTACCACCTCACAAAATATCAAGGGGGGTCGTCGGAGGAAATTTTTTTTCGTAATAGAGCTCATATAAAGAGAATTTCACTCGCGGTCACTTTTTAGCCCTCGTCGAGGGCTTTGAGTGTAACCGACAGTTTTCCCTAAAGGTCAAGCCATTGACCTAGGAGCATGCAAAAAATTAGCCAGATATACTGAGCTTAAGTACCCTAAAGTCTGCGTTGAAATGACCCTCTGTTTTTCCCATAAAATACAAAGATTATATAGGGAAATACAACTGGTCAGTTTTGACCGCTTTACGAAGTTTTCCCAGATATGCCAAGTTTTTTATGACACCCCAAGGCGTTCTCCTACCACCTCACAAAATTTCAAGGGGGGTCGTCGGAGGAAATTTTTTTTCGTAATAGAGCTCATATAAAGAGAATTTCACTCGCGGTCACTTTTTAGCCCTCGTCGAGGGCTTTGAGTGTAACCGACAGTTTTCCCTAAAGGTCATGCCATTGACCTAGGAGCATGCAAAAAAATTAGCCAGATATACTGAGGTTAAGTACCCTAAAGTCTGCGTTGAAATGACCCTCTGTTTTTCCCATAAAATACAAAGATTATATAGGGAAATACAACTGGTCAGTTTTGACCGCTTTACGAAGTTTTCCCAGATATGCCAAGTTTTTTGTGATACCCCTAGGTGTTCTCCTACCACCTCACAAAATTTCAAGGGGGGTCGTCGGAGGAAATTTTTTTTCGTAATAGATCTCATATAAAGAGAATTTCACTCGCGGTTACTTTTTAGCCCTCGTCGAGGGCTTTGAGTGCAACCGACAGTTTTCCCTAAAGGTCAAGCCATTGACCTAAAAGTATGCAAAAAATTAGCCAGATATACTGAGTTTAAGTACCCTAAAGTCTGCGTTGAAATGACCCTCTGTTTTTCCCATAAAATACAAAGATTATATAGGGAAATACAACTGGTCAGTTTTGACCCCTTTACGAAGTTTTCCCAGATATGGCGAGTTTTTTGTGACACCCCAAGGCATTCTCCTACCACCCCACAAAATTTCAAGGGGGGTCGTCAGAGGAATTTTTTTTTCGTAATAGAGCTCATATAAAGAGAATTTCACTCGCGGTCACTTTTTAGCCCTCGTCGAGGGCTCTGAGTAAAACCGACAGTTTTCCCTAAAGGTCAAGCCATTTACCTAAGAGCATGCAAAAATTTAGCCAGATGTTAAGAGAGTAAGTGCCCTAAAATCCGTTTTGAAATGACCCTCTGTTTTTCCCATAAAATACAAAGATTATATAGGGAAATACGACTGGTCAGTTTTGACCCATTTCCCGATTTTTCCCGGACATGGCGAGTTTTTTGTGACACCCCAAGGCGTTCTCCTACCACCTCACAAAATTTCAAGGGGGGTCGTCGGAGGAAATTTTTTTTCGTAATATAGCCCATATAAGGCGCCGGTCAGTCGAGGTCAGTTTTGACCCCTTCTCCGTAGACTTTTCGGCCAACCGTCACCGGCATTCGTGTTCTATCGCCCGAAGGCACCATCGTGCCAAATTTGACGCGCCTGCGGCGCCGGGAAGTGCCCTATCGGGCACTTGACCACTTTGCTTTATATATATAGATATCGGGGGAGTTTATTTAGTTACTGAAGAAGAGATCTCCCATGTTTATTCCCCGAAAGTTCTAGACTAGAAATGCAAATATGACCTAGTTAGATTTCTGCGCAGGCATCAACGGATTATAAGACGGTCAGCAATCGACCAAATCGTTAGCTGTCTGATTCCTTACTGAGCCGGCTCTTGAAGAATGACAGTAATGTTTTTTATCATTGAATCTCTAAATGGAAATCTGAGTAGGAGGGACACATATGTTAGGTTTCTATGTTTGCTATAAATGTAAAAGTAGACAAATAATCCCTTGACTTATCACTACATGGTTATCGCTATTTAAATTCCCTGCCAATGCCCTAGATGTGAATACGCAAGGCCCTGTGACCTCGCAATGCCCTAGCTTTGACCTCTCAAGGACGTTACTTTGACCTCGCGAAACCCTAGAGTTACCTGTTAATGCCCTAGCTGTACATTCTCCATGCCCTAGCTGTACATTCTCCATGCCCTAGCTGTACATTCTCCATGCCCTAACTGTACATTCTCCATGCCCTAGCTGTACATTCTCCATGCCCTAACTGTACATTCTCCATGCCCTAGCTGTACATTCTCCATGCCCTAGCTGTACATTCTCCATGCCCTAACTGTACATTCTCCATGCCCTAACTGTACATTCTCCATGCCCTAGCTGTACATTCTCCATGCCCTAGCTGTATATTCTCCATGCCCTAACTGTACATTCTCCATGCCCTAGCTGTACATTCTCCATGCCCTAGCTGTACATTCTCCATGCCCTAGCTGTACATTCTCCATGCCCTAGCTGTACATTCTCCATGCCCTAACTGTATATTCTCCATGCCCTAGCTGTCCCCACGCAGGGCCCTGTGACCTCGCAGGCCGTACCTAGCTGTACCTTGACTATGCCCTAGGTATGGTTTTGCTGTACCTTCTCTATGCCCTACCAATGGTTTTGTTGTACTTTCTCTATGCCTTCGTGTGCCCAAATGTAACTTTGAAATGACAAAGCCCTTGCTATGCCCTTACTGTGCCTTCGCTATGTCTTCATGCCTTTTCCTTCTCAATGCATTAGCTGTGTTTTAGATATGAGAATCTCTGCCCTCCCTATATCTTAAATGTGTCCTTTCAAAGACTCATCAGCAATTTCGATGTGCCAGCGAATTGGCAGCGTCTATGCCCAATGTGCCTTAGCTATGGACCTAATTTTGCTTCACGACACCTGAAATGTGCCCTCTCTATCTGCCCTCTTAGAGATTGTGTTGTTGTGTTGTGTTGTTTTGTTGTTGTGTTGTTGTTGTGTCATGCTTTTGTGTCATGTTGTTGTGTCGTGTTACTACATGCCTTACTGAAATCATTATGTCTACAGATTTCCATACTGGTGATGTTTTTGTTAAATTAGTGGACACACCATTTGTATGATGCAATGGTGTCTGTTTTTCTCGACAAGCTTTGAGACTCACCAGCGAAGTCGATGTGCCAGCGACTATTCCTAGTCGTACTCCTCACTCTTCTCAAACCTGTGGCCCACAGTATCTCCTTGCATGTCTCATCCGCAGAGAAGGGGGGGGGGGGGGGATCCAACAGCATTAAGGTAATTACACCATTAAAACAGATATTATAAAAATATGGCCCCATAATCTAATAGACTATTGCGCATTGGAAATCCAAGCACAAATCCTGGTTACATGAGAAGAGCCAGGTGTTGCCCATGTATCAGACCAATTCTCTACACACAGCTGATGGACAAAAGGGTAGGGATTTTCATGTACGTTTTGGAATTATACATATTATATACATTAGAGTTAATTAACGGTTAATCATTTTTGTTGTTGTAGCAATTTAGAAAATTAGATACAGCCATCATAAACCAAGAGACACTTTTTTTTAGAAACGGATTAGATCATGTAAAAAATACAATTTTATTTGCTTTTTTAATATATATATATATATATATATATATATATATATATATATATATATATATATATATATATATATATATCACAGTTTGTTTATCTGTTTGTCTGTTTGTCCTTTACACATTACTGCAATTTCGAGCCACTGGGATCACCGTGAGCCCTTTTGCGCCTATATTCCTTTTAAAGAGTGCCCTGGACTTAAACGGAAACGACGCGTGCGCCAGCGTTTTGGCAATAAGGTGACCTGCAGCACCCTTGGGTCCCCTGTGATTACAACTTAGTCTACTTTCGTTTCATAGGGCACCCCGCAATAGAGACAAGGTAGCTCATGACATTTGAAAATAAAACCAAATCAAAAGCCGTAAACGTCGCCCCTTTGGTAGTGCAACCGATGGCTTTACGAGAAGTAGGTCGAAATCTGTAACAATGTTGTAATTGAAAAAAAAAACAATCCACAGTTAAGCCTACGCGAAGTAATTACCTACTAGTAATATGGGCCAAAGTATTTTTACGTTGCTTTATTACCAGGCTATGCTGCTCAGTATGGTGAGATTCTGTTATTATTTTGAGGTAAATCAGTGAACTTTAAGTAAGTGGACGATCCAGTTTTTATTTTATTTAAATATCATACCCTTTCGTACACGTTGTACCATGGTAAAAATTTAGTAGAGTCCAGTTGTTTCAAGGAGAAAATGTTGTTTGCTCTATTTCCAACCACCTAAGGCTAATATATCTTAACCTGAGTTACCCATTAGGCACATGAACTCAAGGACGTCGTATAGCCTCAAGCTAGGGATCCGAACTCGAGACTTAAAGTTTCCTAAATTTAGAAGCGTATTATTTTATTTTTATACGCACATTGTGTTAGTTTTAACGCAATTATTTTAAGGTATGCAATTCTACGGCATTAAAATGTTTGTTAAGTACTCTTTAAAACGAACGTAGGCGCCAAAGCACTCACGGTGGTGCCCGGGGCGCAAAATTGAACCCTATGGGCGCCGGATGACGTGCCTGATTCGATGTAGTCATTTTTAAAGAATAGTAACATATTTTGATAATTTTGATAATTCATATTGTATAGAAAATAAAAAGAGAGGGAGAGAGAATACAAAATATTTTGAGAGAAAGGTTGAAAAAAAAGTAGAAAGAGATAGAAAGCGATAGTAACAAGGAAAAGATTTTGAGAGAATGTGAACTAAAGAGATGAGAAAAGTTATTGAATATACAAGAGGTAGCATAGTTATGTGTATAAAAGAGAGCGAGAGAAAGAGAGGGATACAGAGACAGAATAGGCGTAAGGGAGTAAGATACAGAAACATGAAGAAAGAGAAGGTGGAGAGAGAGAGAGAAAGCTTATGTCCTTTCTATAACGTCTTTACACGCAATCCCCTTCACTTAGCGTCTATTTAGGCATCAAACGACGTCGCCCATCCAATCCAGTATTTGCTAATGTCGCCAGCTTTAAACTACGGTAGGGTATCCGTCATTAGCAATTATCATGCCGTCAATAAAGACAAATAAACCCTGCCTTCGTGTGGCGTGATTAAAGACAATTCTATGTCGGCTAAGGAAGAATGTTTGCAATATTTAACGGTAAAAATAAAATGTAACATACAGCCAGTACATATAATAATTTCGAACTAAGCTGATTAAGCGAGAAACTAAAATTAGTTTAAATTGAGAAAGCTTAAATTATTTCTATTTCCACGCCTAAAAAGAATCCGGAAACATTATCATAATATAAAACAGAATTTAGAGCAGGGGTTCCCAACCTTTTTTTACTCTAGAGCACATTCTAAAATATCGGTAGGGTGGCGGGCACCACCTATTTTAAATCGACAACCTCCTTCCAGAGGCGTAGCGACCCTTCCCGTCACCCGGGGACAAAACTTTCGATTTGCACCCCCCCCCACTCAAACTTTCTTTCGCCCCCCCCCCCCCCTTCAAACTTTCGATTTCCACCCCCCGCCCTCAATTTTTTTATTTTCATCCCCTTCAACCTTTCAATAATGAAAAATTCTGTCTCTGTCGAATATTGAGAGGCGGGCACATACGAATCGTTCGTATGGCGCCCGCGGGCACGGGATTGGGAACCCCTGATCTAGAGATATTATTCTCCTAGTTTATTCCTGGAAATAGCTTGAGTTTAAAAGAATTAGGTTACTTGTAGGCTTAATGCATACCTATGATAATTATTATTGGTCATTGTGAGGAGACATCTCTGATAACTTTTGAAGATACATGTAAAAAATATTTATACCCATTTCTCTTCCAAGTATCACCACTATAATAGATCCTTGTATTGATTAAAATTAAAATTTAAAATAAAGTAAAGTAATTCCGTTTCGTGAATTTAGCTTGTAAAAAGGATAGTGTGGTCAGTTCTTTATACGGCAGCTTAAAACTACCCTTAAGTCAGCCAGGCACCCATTAGAGCTGGGTGAACTCAGATACGCCGTGCAACTTTTCTGGATGGTTATTGTGTGCCCTACCATCCCGTAACTCCGTCCTGTGTAAATCCTAATACAACTTTAAAGTATGTTCTCTAGCTGGGCTAGTTTTGTGTACGAATATTTCATTCACATGTATCCCACAGGACGGAGAGTCATGGCCAACGAACGAGAGATCTGGGCGCCCTTTGCCGAGAGGTACAAAGTCCACGAGGAATCGTACGAGTTTGTCAAGCAGATGCTGGCATCCAACATGCGATTCCACCCCGAGCTTAGCGTCGAGGAAGCCAGACATCAGGCCGAGGTGAGGGCTAAACTCATGTGCGGGGATGTCGAGTTCCAGGGTGAAGATACAGAGATTATCATCCCGTCGCCTTATTCCAGTGAGGGAATTCCCGCTTCTATTTATAAACCAGCGTCGTCGCCGGAAATTCCTGTTATTTTGGTGTACTTTCACGGCGGCGGATTGGTGGTTGGGTCACGGAATCTTTGTAAGGGGCCGCTGAAGATTATATCTCAGGAATCGGGTGCTGTTGTAGTGAATGTGGAGTATCGTCTTCTGCCCAATCCCGATGCTGTAATGGCGCCGTTTGATGACGCGGTGGTAGCGACGAAGTGGGTGTTGGAGAATAAGGAAGTCGTTGGCGGGAAATCTGAAAGTAGAGTGGGCGTTGGAGGGGATAGCAGTGGGGGTCAGATCGCTGCCAGCGTGACCAATGACGTCACGGGTCTGGATTTCCAGATCCTCATCTACCCCATGACGGACACCACCCTCCGACACGAATCGTTCCGAGAGTTCAAGAACGTCCCGGTGTTTAACGGAGACGCCATTCAATGGCTCTTCAAGAACAGCTTCCACCACATCCCAGACTATACAACCAACCCGCGTGTTAACGCCATGGTGCGGACCAACACGGAGGCCTCACCCCCGGGGCTGATACTGCTGGCAGAGTTGGACCCCCAAGTTGGGTGCGGCCTTGACTACGCGGAGAAGTTGAGGGCAGCTGGGGTCAGCGTGCAGGTCGAGGTCATCCAGGGCGTGCTTCACTCCTTCTTCACCCTGAGGCAGGTCTTCAAAACAAAATCGCAAGAAGCGTATGCCCACATTGTGAGGTTCTTAAAGAAATGTCAAGAAGATTAACATTTTTTTCTGTTAAGATTACATTTTTTTCTTAGGTATTTCATCCGTTATATTGTATTTGTTTATATCACCTGGGTTTTTAATATATTTCTATATATTTTATATATATATATATATTTTTTAGATATTTTTACAAACTTAACATTTGTGTTTAGATATTTTCAACAAAGTCAACACTTACCCCTTGTCTTTAGTTATTTTAGTAAACGTAACAATTTTTAAAAATATTTCGTTGATTTGATATTTCAACAATTTTACAAACGTTAGTTGTTTCAAATATGTTTAAGTTTTTTCACCAACCGAGGTTCATCCCAATTCTCAAGCTTTGATTTAATCAGTAACTAATTTTGAGCTATGATATAGTTACTGAGCGACGATTTTCAATCGTATCTTATGATGACTCATTTTAGACGTCAAGGTTTTTCTCGAGTATCACAGACTCTGGATACAAAATACTTAATGAATGAATCTTTCTTTTACTTCAATAAAACTGCAAAAATAACCTTTCTATACTTAGCAATAATAAAATACCTTTATGTATTATATAATAAAATTAATCAGGTAATTGTAATTGTCTTTTAATTTATTGTTTTACTCATGTACGATTAGTTTGATTAGTTGGTGTGTGTGTGGGGGGGGGGGGGGGTCAATACTTTGGCAGCTGCGTGGCAATCTCACACACAGCACCTCCTCCAACATCCAACTCAATCACAGAGCACGGCAGGCTTCCCCTTGTGAACTATGGCGTCTTCGTTCGTTTTAAAGAGTGCCATATACCATGTATATTGGGCGCCTACATTAAATTTTAAAAGCGCACCCTACACTAATGACATGGTAAGCCACAACATTTAATGACTAAGCCTAACCAGAATTCGCGCCCGGTACCAGTGTTTCTTCCAGACTTTTTTACCCAGTCATGACCAACAGTACCAAGTAATGCCCAACAGTACCAAGCTATGACCAACACCCCAGCATCTTTTGAACAAACCTGTTCTACCCTCATCACCATCCTCTTTTTACATAATTCTCTTCATGGGGACCATGCGAGACACCACCAAGACGTAATCTCAACAGACCGTATCGCTACCACCCCCACCCCCACCAGTCTGGTGAACTGTTTACTATCGGGATGAATTAGTAACGGCTCTTAGGGGCAGATAATTTAGTTTTTAAACTATTTAAAACTAAGGAGAGGTAATAACACGTTCGGCTGGCTCTTTTCATTGTCGTCTGTAAACTGTCGTCACGGATGGCTGCTTTCGCGAGGGAAGGGGAGAGGAGTGGAAAGTGAGGGTGAGGATCATCGTCCTTCACCAGCTACTGATGGTGTTTTAAAGCAAAGTATTTTCAGCCGCAGCATTGGTTGTGTCTAATTCACAAAATATGAGAACTATGAAATAAAACAACTAAATAGCGGCGTATGCTTCGTCGCGGGTCAGCTCGTATACTTTACACGACAACAACTAGTTTGCTGCTGAAGCAACTGTTGCAGCTATTTCATGTATTCAAAACTCTCACGACCTATAACCAGTCATTTAACAACAAGCCAATGTAAACAAACGTCACGTGACTAGAATATATTGATAGTAACAATACCTATTTTAAAATGTAGATAGAAAACAACACAAAACGGGGGTAACTCACCTTCGTGGTTATTATCTTTTGAAAGTCCGAAATAAATGTGTTAAATATTATATATCAGCATATTTACAATACATTGATCATTTAAATAAATATAAAATTAGAGAATAAAAATTATTTTATTAAGGGAATAAATAATTATTTTATTTTTAATGTTACAAACTAATTTGTTCAAATCCCAGTAGACAATAGATGGTTCCTGAGTCCACCAAGCTCAGATTGGTAATTCATGTTTTGGAAAGTAAAGGTGGCTGGACATAATGCTGACCACACTAACCCTTATATTCCGTATCTGCCCAGCCAGCTTCGAAAGGGTACTTTACTTTATACCAAAACTCTGGCCCTAACTAAAACCTAACACTAAGAAGTGAAGAGGCAAAAGTTGACAAAAATAAGATCCCCAGTTTTTGTATGAGTCAACATTTAACAAATCAATAGTTTTTTAGTGGTGTAATGTTTAGATTGTGTTGACAAAAATGTTTCCATTTGAAAATGAAACCCAACAAAAAATAACCAGGCGCCTTTCGTTGTCAATACTCAAGTAAATCAGTTGCTGACATTAATCTATAAATAGCCACTTGTTTACTTGAACTCAGATTACCGACCTATCGTAGCTCAGGGAAATACCCACGTGACTGAAGCCAAGAGATCTAGAAATAAAGATCTAGAAATGCTCTCAACCCCAGGTTATATAAAAAATTAAACCTCAATTAAGTAAACACCAATCGATGGAATAGATGCCTTCGACTAAGATGGCAAGCACATCTGAAATTTATTTAGATCTAGCGTTTACAAGTTAAGTGTAAAAAAAAAGTGTGAATTGTTAATAGTTTTGGGGCGTATCCTCGCTTACACTCAAAGAAGGAAGGTTAAAAGCATTCGCTGAAGCAGTTTTTGCAGTACAATAAATTAAATGCCCACATAGTTACATTAATTTAACTTTGTCATGATGGCATATGTGATACTCTGAAAATTAATAATTGGCCTCTAAATTAAATCAATTCTTGTTTTATTTGCTTCCATAGCCATTGTCCAACCAAGAACAATCTACAAGGCAGCAGTTGTTTGATTTTGGAGTTCTCTGTCCTAGAAGAGTTGCTGTCACAAGCTATCAAGCATCATCTGCCCAAGTGTTCAAACTCGAGGGATTTCTGTGTAGCAAACCTGAGCTTTACCGACTCGACCACGCCGACCCTTACCAACCGCTGAAGCCTAAACAACTGTAGACTGGAAAAATGCATCGTAGGAACTAATCTGCTTAATTAATTAACACCATTTGTGATCTTAGCGAGTTAGAATGTTGTCTTCATTAATGAAAAATTTAGAAGATAAGAACGGGTGGAATATGCTAAAGGATTCGGGGGAGGTAATAATAAACAAATGTAAAAAAATATTATTACTAAAGTTATCTCCCTTTAGTAATTTAATTATTTATAAAAAAAACTAATTGTGATTATTAATTCGTGGTTGTAATATAGGAAAACTAATTATTAATCTGCTCTCGTTTTCAATTCCTAGGGGAGGGTGGAGGGGTTAAATGAGAGAGAATATGGGTGGAAGAGAAGTTAGGTGGGAGGTAAGTTTGGTGGTGGGGGGCGGGGGAGTTAGGTGACAGAGTTACGTAAAAGGTCAGGTATGTTTAATGCTAATTGAGGGGTTGGAGAGTATTGACTAAGGGGCTAAAACTGTTAATAGCAATTGGTGAATGACAGCTAAGATAGACATACTGACAGACGGAATGACCATTAACTTTTGTGGTATGTATTTTTAATAACAAACGAAAATCAAGCGCTGTGGTATTTCTCCACATCTGTATTGTTTTTGACGACAAAATAGCAGATTTAAAAACAAAGATCTCACGTAAATGTGTTATCGTAGGTGTACAAGGCAATTATATAATCATGTCTTCGTTTTTCTTCCATTTTTTCTTTTCTAAGTGTATCATTGTTTGTGGGGAGGGGTGAGTGCCTGAATCCTAAAACATTTATAATATGAGTGTAGGGTGACAAGCCATCTACCTTTATATGAGGATAGGTAATATGGGATAGGGAATCAATACACAATGTCCTATTTCTATGTAATATAAAATATGCAGAACCTAAATGAACTAATTGGACAGTTTGTAACGACATGTATATGCAAAAAAAAATCAACCGGCCACGATTTATATTAAAATGGGTACCAATATCGGCCAACACTGGCCACCATAGAATTAGAACATTCTTCTAGTTTATCTAACAATGTGTTGCTTTGATGGTGTAAACTCTAGGTAGACATACAGTGTTTATCTTGCTTGTTTGTACTTTCTAGATCCCATACACATATTTTATAAACAATATTATGATAGTTGCATAAAAAACAAAATTGTTCAGTTGATCAGTTTTGTGGTTGGTGATGGTCACACTAACACAGAGGCGTAGTGAAGGGGGGGGGTTGTGGTCGGGGGGGGAGGGTACATATGTCCCCGGGCGCCGACCTTAGGGGGCGCCAAAATGGGTTGGAAAAACAAATTAAAATCTCATTTTAGCTGCAGTTTTGCATTATAAATATAAAAAATATATGGGAGGGGGGTGCAAATGGAAAGTTTGAGGGTGGGGGTGTAAATTAAAAGTTTGAGGGGGTTGAAAATTGAAAGTTTGAGGAAGGGGGGGGGGGCGCCAAATGGAAAGTTTGTCCCCGGGCGCCGGGAAGGGTCGCTACGCCTCTGCACTAACACTCTTGTTCTTTTCTAGACAGGGACGGCGATGGCTGGTCGTACGGCGATGACGTAGGCGTGAGGTCATAGCGCAGGGAAGCCAGGGAGGGGGCGCCCTCTGTCATCTCCTGCCCCAGGGTGGCGTTCTCGTTCCTGAGTTCACGGAACCTGTCCAGTTCCTTGGCGCTGTGACGTATGTTCTGGCAGTATACTACGTCATCAAAACCTATCGATACAATTGTCATTTATATATATATATATATATATATATATATATATATATATATATATATATATATATATATATATATATATATATATATATATGTATGTGTGTGTGTGTGTGTGTATTTCTTTAAATACTGAAGAAGAAACCCCCATATTTATTCCCTGAATGTTTTACACTAGAAATGCAAATGTGACCTAGATAGATTCCTGCGCAAGAATTACGGATCTTATAAGACGGTCAGCAATCGGTCAAATCGTTGGCCGTCTAATACCTTCCAGCTATCAAAGAATGACAGATGTTTTTTTTAAAATCGGGGCGTGGCATTGAATCTCTAAATGGAAATCTGAGTAAGCGGGGGGGGGGGGGGGGTGTTACATATGATAGGTTATTATGTTTGCTAGGAATGTAAAAGTACGTAGAATATCTTGGCTCATTTCCTTCATTAAACTCCATCACAAAGCCCGAGCTGTGCCTTGGCAATGCCCGACTCTGCATTTGCGACATCTTAAATATGCCCTCTCTATCTGCCCTCTCAGAGACTCACCAGCGAAGTCGATGTGCCAGCGACTATGCCCAATGTCGTACTCCTCGATCCTCTCAAACCTGTGGCCCCACAGGATCTCCTTGGGGAGGTACGAGGTCCTGGCCTGGCAGGTCTCACCTGCAGGGGAGGGGGGGGGGGGAGGGGGAGAGGAACAAACAACATTCAGGTAATTACAAAAATTTAGACAGATAATATAAAGTTAATTAGCATTAAGTGGGTTTTTTTTAAAGATGCTTCAATTAAATACTTTTCGACTATATTAACAGTAACCATTGGATTTTTTTTCTAAGAAACAGATTTGAACATCTATAGAATGTAATTCGCATTAAAATTGTTTTTTAAATATTGCCTTAGTGCCTTAGAGCTTTCAGCTTATATATATATATATATATATATATATATATATATATATATATATATATATATATATATATATATATATATATATATATATATATATATATATATATATATATATATATATATATATATATATATATATATATATATATATATATATATATATATATATATATATATATATATATATATATATATATATATATATATATATATATATTTATATATATATATACATATATATAGTTGTAAATATGGGCTTTGCATTCAATACCATTCATATTTAATTTAGGCCTTTGTTTAATTACTTTTCGACTAGTTAGTACAGTATATGTGAGGTCGATATTTGAAGCAGTGATTCAGTTATAGGATTTCAGATAAAACAACCCTGAACAGCTTCAAGAATACTACTATCTGCTGACATAAACTTTAAGTATTAGTTCAAAATACAACATCTTTGTTAACTTTATTTTATCTACGGGTCAAAGTCTGAAGAACACAAAAGTAGGTCAAAATACGTAAAAATGTTGCAGTTAGTAGAGAAAAAACATGTACACAGTTAAGCCTAGAGCAAGATAATAACTTAGTAGTAATATAGGTCAAGGTATTTTTAAAGTTGCTTTTTTATCAGGCTTTTTCTCCACAGTGTTGTGACATTGTGTCATTATTTTAACGCGTGTTCGGGGAATTCAGTAAACTTTAGGTAAGTGGACGATCAGTTCTTAGTTTAAAAATGTATGTTTAATAAATATTTGATGTATGCGAGTTAGATTGCTCAAATAATTACTTTTTAAATACTGTATATTTTTAAAAAATACGTTATGTATCATAGCATTATAAAAGTATATCGCAATTCTTCTAAATTGTCCTGACGGCTATGTTCAAAAATATTTTGTACATGTAGCAACAGAAGCGATATTTGACCACCGTATCGAAACTGTTAAACTAAGTGTAACGGCAGTTTTCGTTAAAAAGGTGGATTAAACAAGGGTTTTCAATTTTCGTTTTTTCAAAAGTGTTTAAGCACACTTCATAAAGTGTGAAGAACATGTCCAGTTTCGTGTAGACGTCTCAGCAGGTAACGTCACAAATTGATTTTCATCGCTCCAGACTGATAAAACGCATCAACGATGAAGAACAGTGGCGTAGGCAGGAAGGGGGGGGGGGGGGGTTAGGGGGGGTCATAACCCCCCCCCCCCATCATAGACCCCTCGGTATATATATAAAAAGTATGAGGGGGGGGTTCAAATCGAAAGTTTGAGGGGGTGGGGGGATGAATGAATGAAGAGAGAGAAAAAAAGAAAAGAAAGTACTAGTTAGACCATGACCTTTGATAGAAAAAGAGTTAAATATGAAACGTAAAAAGAGAGGGGGAAAGAGAACAATAAAATATTCTAAGACAGGGGTCGGCAACCTTTTGGGACGGAAGAGCCAAAAGTTACAATTTACCACATTTCACAGTTTTTAAAGAGCCACAAACTTTTTCATTTCAATATTATGTTATTATATATATATATATATATATATATATATATATATATATATATATATATATAATTTCATATTTTAAGCTATTTATTGTAAATGTATATATATATATATATATATATATATATATATATATATATATATATATATATATATATATATACATTTAAAATAAATAGCTTAAAATATGAAATAATATTTATTCATATAAAAACATACATATGTTTCGCACAAAACATTAAAGTAGTTTAGCAAGCTCTGCTCTAAATTAGAAACTTTACATTGTTATTAGATCAAAATCTTTAATTACCGAGTATTGCAGACTAATATTTTTATGAGTTTTAAAAATAAATCAATATAATTATTAATATTTGTGCATGGAGCTGAAGAGCCGCATATTGACATCAAAAGAGCCGCATGCGGCTCGCGAGCCGCAGGTTGCCGACCCCTGCGTTAGATAGTTCTATTTTTGAAACAAATTTAAAAAGAAAGAAGAAAAAAAAGGGGCCGGCGTGGCCTAGTGATCGAGATATCTAGACTCTAGACCAGGAGTCTCCAAACTTTTCAGTCCGAGGGCCGCATTAAATATCAAATTTCAGTTCGGGGGCCAGTTTCTTCCAGGCATGTCTTTAAATTTTCTGGGCAAAGTTTCTCAGCCATCAACAACAAACGATTGTTCCTTGGACAAAAAGATCTCCGCGGGCCGGATGAGAGGACTTCGCGGGCCGCATCCGGCCCGCGGGCCGTAGTTTGGAGACCCCTGCTCTAGACTACTAGTCCAGGGGTCGGCAACCCTCGGCTCGCGAGCCGCATGCGGCTCTTTTGATATCATCGGTTCATGATGCAGCTGTCATTCCATGTACAAGTATTAATTATATTTTTTTTTCAAAACTCAATTCAAATATTTACTGTAAAGAGACAACAAAACGCCATGTACGTCAGCATCGCCTATTATAAAACTTACTCAAGTTATCGTGTTCAAAGAGACACAGACACACACACACTAAACACAAACACACACACAAACACAAACACACACACACACACGCGGACAAAATTGCAAATATTAAGTTTTTCCAACTCAGGGAGGTGCAAAACTTTGAGATTTGTGAAAATCTCGATTTCGATGATTGCATGATTACAATACTTCCTCTATACTTCGTATACGAGAAAGTAAAAAGAGAAGTAACAAATCCACAGAGAAAAAAGAGGCCAAGTTCAACCTACAAACAAATTAATAAATTTTAATGTTTCCAATGACAACGTATCTAACTATCTGGTCTAAAAAGTTGTTATTTTCTTTCCAGATCTACAAAAAAACAATGTTGCCGACCCCTGCTCTATACGCCTTTATTAGTTGTTTTTTGTATATTATTATTATTATTATTTCTAAAACAATCTGCTTATTTTTACATAGAGGAAGCACAATTTAAAATTTTGATTGAACATAGAACTCAACACATTGTCGTTAAAGTATTCCTATAGATTAAATATAGAGTTTTCCCATCTAAAATACTGCTCCGTTGATAACAAAATCCCTACAAATCTATTTTCGAAAAAAAAATTTAAAATTTAAAAAAAGAAAAGAAAAAAATAAAGGGGATGGCGTGGCCTGTGATCGAATTCTATAGGCTACTAGCCCAGGGGTCGGCAACCCTCGGCTCGCTAGCCGTATTCGGCTCTTTTGATATCAAGATATCGGTAAAATTTGGAAACTTTTTGAACACTCATAGACCTAACATTTTTTTAAATGTATAGTTGAGCTACACAGAGATCCTCATTAGCTATCTAAGCACCAGGGGTCCGCATATAGGGTGTCCTACACAGGGGGATAATTGTACTACTTCAATGATCAGTTCGCTGCATTAGGGGCCTCCGCATGTGGCCGTGTCCTATGAGCCCCGTGACACCTCTGACACCAAGGCCGTCACCGATCGGTGTTTCTTTCACCATCAGCGTAAACCGGGGCGTGTTTGTGGTAGTAGGTACAAACTAGTACAAACTTATGAAATGTTTATTGCTTTTTAAAAAACTCAGACGAAGATAAAAACATATTTTTTAAATCCTTCTATAAGGACGTAGTGGAGCAGGATCCATTTGACACAACACTAGCAGGCCCGTGGATGTTAAAATGGGAGATGACCCACACAAATCGCCACACTGAGAAACTTAAAATCAACAAGGATTAACTTACGAAGGCCAAAGATTTATGTCCCTTAATTTCCATCTTTATATGGCATACATTTAGTTTTCAATAAATCACATCAGCTGTTGGGGTTTATTGTAGGGATTTCTACACTGTGCTATTGTCAAGCGAAATGTACCCTTTTTTCGTTAAAATTCTACCAAGGCCGAGTTGAAATTTTCAAAATTAAAATACTACCTGGAACACCTTAATTTAAAGTAAATGTTAGTTGTGAATTTTTTTTTAAATGAACATTTTTACAATAGACACATTTTTAATTCTTCTCATTTGTTACTTATTGTAATATTGGATGAGATCTCCTCGAATAAAATGATGTATTTACCTGTTAACAGTTTATATAGTCCGTAGACTTAGATTAAATTTTTTTATTTTTTTTGCTGGATTTGCTTCCATAGACTTTGTTCGCACTAGAACGATTGTTTTATTTTGGTGCTCTTTTCTAGATGGGTTGCTGTTAATAAATCTCATCTGCCCTGGGTTCGATATCAAGTTCTACAGAGTTAACAGTCATACTCTTCCGCCCGACCAGCCCTTCCATCCCCCTCACCCATACACCAC